CCTCCGGCTGCAGGTCCGCTTGGGCCAGACGCGCGAGCGCAGACCGAGGGTGAGCGGTCGCCGGCCCGATTTCTGAATTCCTAGCCGAGCGCCGACCCTCCCGGCCGCCCCCACCTCACCTCGCCGCCATGCGCCTCCGCCTGCTAGCGCCGTTCGGGGCCTTCACGCTGCTGCTCGCCACGGCCCGCGTCGGCGCGGCCTCCGACGTCCTGGAACTCACGGACGAGAACTTCGAGAGTCGTGTCGGCGACACGGGCTCCGCGGGCCTCATGCTGGTGGAGTTTTTCGCCCCCTGGTAAGGCCCCGTGTGCCGGAGCGGGGGAGGGAGGCCGGCTGGCGGGACGGTTGGGCCTGGGCAGCCATGGCCGCGGGCCCCGCGCAGCCGAGGAGCCGGGGCTGCTCGCCTGGGTGCGAGACCCGGGAAGGAAAACCCGAAGGCCTCTACCTCCTCCTCCTCCTCCTCCCGCAGGCCGCATCCTCACCGCGGCACTCTTGCGGCACTTCCTATTAGAAGAGGGTTTCGTGTACCCAGCGCGTGTCCCCCCTCCCCCTGCCACCCTCCGTGCCTGTACAGTTTCTGGGTGAGTCAGTGTGAACGTCCTCGGGGCTACGAACGAGCCATCCCAAGGCCTTCTCGTTGGGCGTTTCACGACCCCCCGGCTCCCGGAGTATTTCATTTTACCCAACGCCCCAGCTGCTGGTTTCTAGCCAAGGTCACTCCGTGGCTGCAGAATGGTCTTCAGTGCTTTTCGCGAGGCAATCAGTCACTTTGCCCATCGCACCGTGTACTCTCTTCACCTTAAGCGAATCACTCAGTTCCCCGCCCTTGAAAAGCTGGATGACCAAGAGTAAATCCAACCCTAGCCATCAGATTGTCCCTTTGAATTAGGCTTTCTGGAAAATACCCAAGAGATTCCATGGAAAAAGTCACCACTGTTGGAGAAAATATACCACTTCAGAGTGATTTGATTGGAAAGGGCTGTCAATTTTTTAGTTTAGAACTTACTGGAAATAAAATCTATCCTGGGAGGAATGGGGAAGAAGGGAGAAAAAAGGACTCTGGACCAAAAAACATGAGTGTGGCTGGTTGGTTGGTTGCTTGTTAACCCCAAACCTTTGCCATGGCAAATAATGGCTTTCTTCAAGCTCGGGATAAGACCCTATAGAACTGAAAGGAAAAAGCTTGGATATACTAGATCCATGCTGATTACAGTCTTTAATTTTCCCCTTTGTGTCACATTAATTCTTAATTAAAAGCTGTATTTAAAAAGTATCAGTAAAGCATAGTTAGTGTTTAACTTTCACTTCTAATTCTTCTCTTCACTCCCTAGCCTGGGGCTCCATTGAAGCCCTGTAGTGAAACCACCTGAATCAGAAGGCTGTGCTAGAGGCAGGCAATTTTCGTTTTCAGCCGCTTGAGGTTTTCTGTACAGTATTTGAGTGGCAGTACTGATTACACTTGAACATCTGAACGCATAATTCTTTCTAGAAAAACTCATGTTAGTTGAATAGCCGTGCTGTTCAATGAAGAGTGGGGAGTGGGGAGTTGTCCCTGAAATTACAGTGCCTTTATGGAATTGTATCAGAACTGAGTTAGTGCTACAGGGGTTAATTGCTGGAGAACTATTTAAAACACTTTGGGATTTGTTTTTCAATCGAAAATGTTCTTTGAAATTAATGTGCTTCCTTAAAAACTACATATCCCATCATGCACTAAACTTGAGAATTGGGTGGGTCTCTGCTGTGGTGTCTGCTTTCAATTGGTTAGAAGGTAAACTCATCCTCCACGTGCCAACTGGAGAGGTCAGTTTTCCGAATGAGTAATTTGGAGTCAAGGAAGTCTGCTACTGATAACGTCATATCTTCACATTCAGCTATTTTCATTTACTAATACACAGGCTAGAAATGCTTTCTAACTCCTACATTCTTTTGTAAGAAGCCCTGGTGGTGTAGTGGTTAAAACACTGTTCCTGCTAACTGAAAGGTTGGTATTTTGAACGCAGCAGCCACTTTATGGGAAAAATCTGACATTCCACTTCAATAAAGATTTACCACCTTAAGGCAGTTCTCCTTTGCCCTGTAGGGTTTCCAGGAGTTGAAAGTGACAACAGTGGGCTTGGTTTTATATTCCTTTATACAGACAGGGAATACAATGTCACAGGTGGATCATTAAGAGTAAAATTGACCGTAAATTATTTTTTCCTTTGTTTCAGTTTTTATTCACTCCACTTTCATTTTGCAAGTGAAAGTGAGAGGCTTCTTTGTAGACTAGTATTTCAAGTATGGAGTTAATCATCTACATCAGCAGTTCTCAACCTGTGGGTCGAGACCCCTTTGGGGTCGAACTACCCTTTCACAGGGGTCGCCCGATCCATAACAGCAAATGACAGTTATGAAGTAGCAACGAAAATAATATTATGTCGGGGGTGAGGTGGGGTGGCGGTTACCACCACATGAGGAACTGTATTAAAGGGTAGCGGCATTAGGAAGGTTGAGAACCGCTTATTAGGAATATGAGAATTTCTGGGTAAGTAAGATCATTTAAATGGTTGTGTTAATTTAATGTATTGATAGCTTCTTAAAAAGAATACTGATCAGTTGTTAGTTTGGGAGGAGTCCTAGTGTGCGTGGTGGGTAGGTAATGTGTTGAACTGCCAACCGCAAGGTCTGCCGTTCAAAGCCACCAGCAGCCACCACGGAGAGAAAGATAAGACTTGCTACTCTTATATAGATTTATAGCCTCTGAAACCCACAGAGGCAATTCTACTCTATCCAGCTCGATATGAGTTGGAATCAGCTCAATGACAGTGACTTTTTTTTTTTTAATCCTTTTATTAGGGGCTCATACAACTCTTATCACAAGCCATACATACACCAATTGTGTAAAGCACATTTGTACATTCATTGCCCTCGTCATTCTCAAAATGACTTTTTTTTGAGTTTTGGTTAGCACTTAGTACACAACTATCTACTTACATTGTAGATTTTAATTCTTTTCCAGGTAACTAGTTGTTTCTTCCTTTCTACTGGTTCCTAATTTTGCTGTCACTCCTGCTGGACTGATGTGGGTTGTTCAGTGGGAACAACCCACAGCCTTGTGTGCTACTTTTTAAATTTTTAACAATTTATATAAATTGTTCTGTGCCATTGGTTACAATTTTTCATTGTGTCTCTCATTTCCATTCTGTTTGTTCTGTTTCCCATTATCTCATTTCTCTGCCCCCTTCCTGGCCTATTAATTTTGTTTTCTGGCTAAATGTTGACTTATAGTGACCTTATAGGACAGAATAGAACTTCCCCTTTGGGTTTCTGAGACTAACTTTTGTCAGTAGTAGAAGCCCCCATCTTTCTCCCGAGGAGCTGGCTGGTGGGCTGGTGGTTTCAAACTGCTGACCTTGTATTAGCAGCCCAATGCGTAACCACTACACCACCAGGGTTCTATAAGGTGACATCAATTCGATGGCAGTGAATTTGGGTTGTTTTTTTTTTGGAGGGGAGTGACTGTTCTCATATTCGTTAATTGTATAAGGAAGCACATTACTCGAGAATGATACTGTTTCCTTTATAACCCAGTACATTTTTTGGCTGAAAGATAACCTGCAGAAATAGCTTCAAATTCAGTCTTAAGGTGTTAGTAACAGGAGTTCCCATACTTTCTATTGGTATAGTAAGTCTAGCCTTTTTTTTTTTTTTTTAAGGAATTTGAGTTCTACATTTTTCTACCATTCTGTTCAGGATCCCCTATTTGTGTCAGTTGTTAATCCTGATAGATCTGTGAAACTAACTCTTGAGTTCCATTCCAGGTGGATTTGGGGGAAGAGAATGTTCTCCTCCAGGCTATTGAGACTTGTGAAACAGGTCATCCATGTCTTTTTGTATGTGATCACCTTATGCATATTGCCAGTGCTTTGGTCTTCAGTCCTGGCCTTGGGGTGCGCGCGCTCTCTCTCTCTCTCTCTCTCACACACACACACACACACACACACATTTTTTTCCTCTATTTTCTAGTTTCCTCCATATTCTTGAAGACTCCCATCCAGTAAACCCTCCAGAGTTTTTTTCATGCTTCATGGGTACTTTTGATAAGTATCTAGAACATCACTACACTATTATAATATTCACAGGTTTTGAGGTGGTTGAAATGAAGTGATTTAACTCTTAAATCTGTTACTTCAACCTTAAATATTATGGTTAAAAAACTGCTAAATATTCAGAAATAACTCTTCTTAATCATCATAGCACCACTCTGGTCCAGATCTTTATTAACCTTCATTACCTGCCACGTGGAAGACATTGCTAGGTGACTTTTTCTATATTTTTTTCACCCTTTCTGTACACCATTGATTAGCAAAATTTTAATGCACATATACACACACTTAATCTGAAAATAAAGGCTTTCACAGTTCTCTGAATGCACCATTCTCTTTAGTACTCTTTGTTCTACTATCACCTTTATCCAAAAGGTTCTACCTTTCCTCTCTGATGCTTTAAATCTTGAGGGACCAGATCCAATTCTTACTTATTTTAAAATGCATTCTTTCCAACCATTGCCACAACCTTCTCTGAACCCACAGAGCCCTGGTGGGCAGTGATTAAACATTCAACTGCTAACTGAAAGGTTGGCAGTTCAAACCCA